ATGTAGTTTAGTATTTGGAACACATAGCAGGAATCCACAAGAAAAAAGGAGACTGAAAGGAAAAAATAAGAGAGACAAATAGAAAATTCAAAGAAGTAAAGGATAGAGTTGGTGGCCATTTTGGTAAACTAGAAATCAATCCCCTACTGGATGACTTGAAGAATTATATCCAGTGTACAGGGCTGCCTTCGTTTATAAAAAGAATGTGTTTTACAATTTTAGGGAAGTTGGCTCTGTTTCTGTTTATGAGAATAGGATGGCCACAGATGTCTGTTAACTGATACAGAGATTGCCAATTAAGTCTAATTTTTCCAAAAGCTTTTGTTTGTGAACCAAATTGCTTATTGTCCTTCGCAGAAAAGTACACAGCATTTATCTAGTTCAGATTGGCTGAAAATTTTCCCAGGATTCTATAACTCTTCTTACCCAAACAACTGTACTTGGGAAAATGGACTAGGAGATGAGGCAGGAAGCTCTCAGGTTTCAAACTAGCCTGGTCAGCTTATCAAAACCCTGTGTTGAGCTGGTAATGCAGTTCAGTGTGTTAGCTCTGGGTTCAGTCCAAAAAACACTTTCATAGCTTAGAAAAAGCATGAGTAAGGAAAGGAGAAGGCCATCAAATGAACAGCCTAGATGACCATGGGCATCACAGACAAAAACACTCCAGTGTCCTAAATCTGTCACTCATTAAATGCATGATGTGCATTTTTTTCAAAGGTGGCAGCAACTTGAGAGAAATGTTTTTGCTAAAAAGCAATAACCAATCCTTGGGCCTGCACATGCTCAGTAGACAAATAAAGGCAAAAATAGACTTGACCTTCATTCTGTATGTCACTATTGCTAGCTTAAAATTTTAGGTCAAATTGCTTCTCAGCTCTGCAGACAGACACCCTATCATTCAGAGAGCATCCACTCAAAAGTTGGCAAAACTTCTTTGATAGCCCTGACTGTGCATAACATATCTCACCCCCTTCAGGACTGGAGACACCAAGATAAGTAGTTTACAGGAACACTTGGATACACCCAGATATTTACAGTCATTGCCCTAAACCTCAATTATCTTGGATTCCAGCAGAGACTCACAAGGCTGAGAATGCTCCAAGAAGAGCCAGGGATCTTGTGAAGACTGACTGTCTCCTTAAGCAGTAAGGACACTTGCAGCAACCACCCCACCAAAGCAGTACCCAGACCATGAGGAAACTGCCTCTGACCCACTGCTGCAAATGCCTACAGTTGGGCCTAGTTCTTTTGTGAGTGGGCCAATCTGAACATTTTCAGCAGAACTATGGCCTCTTTCTTAGCTCTTCAGCTGAAGAGCCTTCATGACTTTCTCTGACACGCATTTGAAAGGGGCCAGCTTGATGCTTTTCGTGGGTGTGCCCTCATCAGTTTTCATCTGCAAATCCTAACTGCCCTTAACATCATTTCTTCTTTCCAATTAAAGCTTTTGTGGGTAAAACTTCAGTTTTAACTTCCTTTATTACTGAAGTGAGGGCCAAAGCTATATGCAGAACTGAGAATGAATTTAACCCCCAGCAGGCTCTGTGTCTCTGACCTGGCCCAACCCTGTGTTTTAATGTAGTAAGACAGACCAAAAAATGAAGGCCAAGCTTTCTTATGCTTTGTGTTACATACCGTGCATATCTACAACAAATAGATCACATATTTTTAATTAAAACTGCCTTAAGTCCCTGACTAACATAGAAGAAAACACAAGTCAGGCTTTTAAAGAATAACAGGGTTTGTGATTATAACAGGATCTGGGATTATTAATTATGAAATACAACTTTTTCTATGGTCCATAACCTAAATTGCAAGTCTTTCAAAAGAACACTCAGAATAGTCAAGAGCTAGAGATATATTTCTTGATTGCAAAATATTGGAAAAAGCTACAGTAACTAAGAAATTATGTTATTATGTGAACACAGACATTAACCATGAAAATCAATAGAGAACCCACAAGTAAATAAACCAGGTACAGTCATTTGTCATTTTACAAAAAGGCCAAGAATTGGTGGAGGCTAAAAATGTTATTGCTAACAAATAATGTTACAAAAGTTGGATATTCACAGACAAATAAATATCATTGGACCACTGATATGCCATGAAATAAATATCTTCAAAGGGACTGAAGATTAAATGAAACCCAGAAGTTAAAACTTCTGAAAAAAAATCATGTAAAATTGTACTGATGTTATTTATAACAATGATTTCTTAATTGAGCACATCAAGATAGGAATTATAGAAAACTGAGTAACATTAAGCTAAGCAGTTGCTGCTCTGCAAAGTAAATGGTCCACTGAATAAAAATGTAATCTCTGGAATGGGAGAGAACATCTGAAATAAGACAGAAGATTTTTAGTGCACTGAAAGGAATGTGTAAATAGAAATGTTGTAGATGCAAGTCAGGATGCCCTTGTCCCATGGAATCCATAGAATTCATTGAATGCAGAGAACCAAGAGTGAACCGAAGCATGAGCTATGGGTTCTAGGTGATGCTGCTGTGTCAGAGTGGCTCATCAGCTGTAACAAGGAAGTCAGCGTGGAATTTGAGGAGAGAAGCCTGCCACTGCTTGAGCAGGGGAACATGGAAAATATCAGTGCTTTCTGCTTAACTGTGATAAGAACCTAAACTCAAAAAACACAAAATACTAAAGACAAACCATGACCACTCACATACTTCTCTAGGCATCCATAAGTAACACAATCAAAGGAAATGGCCTCATAGAATAATAGCTCAGAAATCTCAATTTCACATGGAACGGAACTGCCTTATGCGTCTTCAATAATATTCCAGTATTCTTCTTTAAATTTCTTTCTTTTCTCTGCCTTAGGCATTCACACAGTTCCCTCCCCTCAAATCACCTCCACTTTGACAATGTCACACTTTGGAACCCACAATAGGTGACAGCTTCTACTTCAATACACTAATCTATGCTTTATTTACGTTGTGCTCTGCCCTGTTTTATAAGCTTGGAATTGACTGTCACATAAGAAGACTATTGTTCTAGTGAAGTTATGCCTGTACAAAACTTCATGATAAGGGACTTGCTAGTACATCCAGATTATGAAGTTGCTACCTTCATTGATTAGAAACATAGATCAACCATTTACTTTGCACATCAGGGTAAGAAGTCAAACAAGTAAGACATAGCTGTACCTTCGAAGAGGTCCCATGAACAAAGAAGAGACAGAGGGAATGTAATTTATGCATTGAATTACTTTTCAGAGAAATTCACCATAAGTGATCAGTGCATGTCCACATCATACTATAAAATGGGATCATTTTCCTTGCAATGCATAGATGAGAACCACTCTTGTCAGAGGATGTTTGGAATTCTTGAGTTTCCCAACATTCTCAATATATGTTCAATATATTGATTCAATGTATTGAACATATATTGATGAGAATATATGGTCCCACTTACTCAGTGCTCATGTCAGGCCAAGAATTTTGGAACACTCTCTACCTCCTGAACTAAGATCAACATGACCTTTTCCTTTTATCCCTATTGTTACTCATATATCAACAGAGCTTTGAAAGTGTAGTCCATGACAAAAACTGGGTACTGATTAAGTAATTGTTCACCCGAGCCTCTTCTCAAAGTTTAAGTGGAATTATTTTCAGAACAACTTGGGGGAGTGGTTGTATCTTATTTCTTAGGGTTGAACTATTACTGAAGTCAGATGAAGATTCTTCTGTATTTACTGGGTTTGATGGAATTAGCCTCTTTTATGATTCATTGCTCTTCAGAAAGACTGAATAAAACCCTATTTTATCAACAATGCTCAATGCCTTCTACCTTATAATAATATACTTGATAGTTGCTTATAATTACCTGAGCAAAATCCCACCAATTAAACATTAGAGATATCATGTCTTAAATGGACTTTGGGCGAGCAAAACAAGATGTGCAGTGCTGTCCCACCAATGGTGGCAGACACTGCTGTTCTATCAGACAGCTCAGATCTTTGGCCATCACCAAATAAGTACAGCAATTTCTTTACATTTTGCACTCATTAGAGCAACCCTCTTAAGCTACTTTTTATGAATAACAATTATAACCTGCAAGGTTTTAAATTTTTTTTCTATAATCCTCCTATTAGCCTTACAGCTGAAACTGAGTAAGTAGAATGGGATTCAGAGGTGTGCAGATTCCAACAGGGCCTAACCCCCACTTGCAGTCAGTCCCACACCTTCAATCACAGATGGTGGCAAACATAGGTTGATAATCCATTATAAGCATTCCTGACATGTACTTCTTGTTGTGCCTCAGTATGAGATAAGCTTCTGAGAGCTTATAATGGGCAGGAAAATCCTAGGAACACAGAGTGATGTGTGGACATCTAAAAAAGAAAGGGACTCAGTTCTATATAGAAACATAGGAATCTACTGCAAATTTCATCAAACCAAACCTACATAGGAGAGGATAAAATGTTTCTTGGTTGGGTAATCTCCATGATTGGTTTCGTAGAATGTTTTTACCTAGAAATAGAAGTCTGGCTTTCTGAGATAAGCAAAGAGAGCAGGGCCTGGTAATATTGTGCTATGGGTATTATGAGGAATTTTAGCCAGCTCTACATTGAGAATAAAGAGCAAATAACACAACCACATGATTTTCAAAGTTTTCAGTTTTGCAGAGAAGTATTTGAAAGGTAACTACCAAAAAGAAGCCCAAAACATACTAAAATAGTGAATAAAATATTTCTAGAAACATAAAACAATTCTGGGAATTTTTCCAACAACATTTGAAAAATAATATTAGAAGTTATCTTTTAACTTCCTTCTGGCACAACTACAAAAACTCTTTTCATGGCTGTTGATTCTTGGCCCAGAGCAAAATATTATCAGTTTTGCACTCTTCTAAGTATGTCATAAAACTTGCTGTCTCATTATGTGTCCACTCCTATAAATGTAGAAGCCAGGCAACATCAGAGGGTGATAGAAAATCCCAACGACACAGCCAGAGGCAGAGAAGAGAGCACCCAAACCACCCACACCGAGGAGAGCAGGTAAGAACCTGCCTTCCTTTCAGGCAGCCTCTCTGACACTGAAGGAGCTCTGCTCAGGGGCTCATAGCTTCTAAGTCTGATGCAGGGACAGGAGGGACTTCTGAGGACTGTTTTCTTAAAAACTAAGAGCACTAAGAAAAGTTGGAGTTGAGCCTTAAATGGGACAGGGGTCAAATGAAATCCAGTTTTGATCACAGCATCAGGTCCCGTGGTACCACCACTGAGCTTGTGCTACTCTCAGACAGGGGAATGAACTGAGCTTCTTTCTGTCTGTTGGCTTTGTGTGGACTGGGAGCACAGGCTACTGTGGTCCCATGGGGCTCAATCAGAATTGTTCCTGCTGCAGCTATGAGGATAACAAGGTAGCCACAGGACTTTTGGTTTGCAGAAGGAAAGCACAGAAATGAGATGCAGTTGAGCAGCCATTGTCACTGTTGAAGGCAATGAGAGAGTAATACTCAGAATGAGTGAAGGAGATTACAAAAGCAGCCTCCTTCCTGATCAGGCATTCAAACTGCATTTCCCACAGGCTATCTTCCTGCAGCCTGGTGCAAATGCAGCGACTTCTCAGGGCCCACCTGCTCCTTACCTTGCACCAGCAGAGCTCAGCCACTGTAATTTACTGAAGGTCTTCCTTTATTTTTTATGTCAAGTTTTTTTATTAATTTTATTGATAAACAAATAGCAATGAGACAGTTTCAAAACAGGATAGTAGGACAGTTACAATATTAATACATTGCATATTGTTGTCTTCATAGTAGTTATTCATAGTACAAGATGCAGACATGATATCCTGTCCAAACACTATCAGCACAAATCTTACTTCTCATTGAATTAAGAGAAAGTAGCTGCATATCAATCCTAACTATTTTGTATATACAGATATAAAATGGTCCTTCGTTTATATCCCCTTTTTTCAGTTAGTTTTGTCAGACATGGGTATTACATTGCCATTTAAATGTTGTAGGTGCGTGAATTCAGCAAAATAATCCAATATAGTCCAGTAGTCGTAGTGGGTTATCCGTAGAACTGTGCAGACCTCAAAAGTCATCTCTGAAGTTGCTGGGTTCCAGACCTTGTTCCCTGCTCTAGCTGGAAGACTCAATACTATTATGGACTACTGGACTATTTTGGAATATTTTCCTGAGTTCACACACCTATAATATTTAAATGACGGAACTAAACAAAAAAAGGGATATAGATGAATAACGATTTTGTATGTGTATTCAAAATGGTTAGGATAGATATACAGCTACATTCTCTTAATTCAATGAATACAGGGATTTGTTCCAGTAGTGTTTGTAAATAGAATATTGTGTCTGCATCTTGTACAACAAATAACCACTAGGAAGTTAGTATGCAATGTATTAATCATTGAAACTGTCCTAATTTGATTTTAAACTGTCTGTTATTTGTTTTCAATAAAATTATGAAAAAAAAGTAAAGAGAGTGGTTGACGGGTTTCCTTTAGAAAAGCCTCACAGTGCAGCCCTCAGGAGGCTACTGCTTCTAACAGAATCCCCTGACCTCACCCTATTTTTTCCTGCCTTCAGGGAGCTCTTGCCCTGAGTCCTTTGGTAGGTGCTTGCCTACTTTTTCAGCTTCTGTCTGTGGCCGCCTCTCCCGGCCAGCTCCTTACCCTTGCTTCCTCTACTCTTTTTCTTCCCCTCTTTATTTTCTTTCTTTCCCCCCTCTAATAATGAAAAACAATCAGAAACAAAGAGAGCAAGCAGAAGACCTGAAAATATATCTTATGACAAGTCTCCCCTTCTAGTCTTTCTCATCTGTCTCTAGTTTTCATAATCCTTATTTTGTAGAAATTTTTACCAAAATCCAGTATTTGCTATTGAGCACTTACACTCTGAGTTCATGCTCACTCACTGTGAAGCTCAGGGCTCAGGATTAGACAGCACCCCTGCCTGTGTCCCTCCAGATCCTTGCAAGGTCCCTAGTTATGTGTACACATGGTACATATGGTAGGTTATTTTCATAAAAATTACAAGAGTAATATGTTGCTTTCCCTTCTGGAAGCTAATGTCAAATATGCTATGCATCTTCATCCCAGTGAAATGAGCCCAGTTGCTAGTTGTGTGAAGGAGGATCACATTTTAAAATCACTGGAAAATGTCCAAAAAGCATAATCAAACCATGAATGATCTATTCAGGAATGGCTTTGTTTGTTAATGAACTGATAAATATTTAATTTATTACATACTCCCAAAATGGAAAAGAAATTCCTTAAATACTATTGGGTATTCTATCTATTATTTCTATAAATAATTTTATCTCAATCCAAAAAGAAAACTTTCTACAATAAGTAAATGGAAGATTTGAGTTGTGAGAGCAATTAAATGTTAATGTAAAAAAAGTTGTTAGGACATTTTTTAAATTGAACTACTTGGGTGGTATTTTCATAGCTTCCTCAGATGATACAATTTTTCTCTCATGCATCTTGTCGATGCACACAGTACTTGGTGGTTCATGCTGGGGAATTTCATGAATCCAGTTTCTCAGCACTAACGCTACAGGTTCCACCTCTCTCCACCCCTGCCCTTGCAGACCAGAGGATTACCCACAGGACATGGCCTCTGAGACCTACATGCCAGGCCCTGTGTGCCTCGTTGAGAATGTGAAAGGACAGCTGATGGTGAACCAGGAAGCTCTGGGGATCCTGTCCGCCATCTCCCAGCCCGTCGTGGTTGTGGCTATTGTGGGCCTGTACCGCACAGGCAAATCCTACCTGATGAACAAGCTGGCTGGGAAGAAAAAGGGTGAGTGCTGCCAGCAGGGCTCTGTGGAGCCCTGACCACCCCCACTGCCCGCATCCTATATGGAGTGTTGGGAGGGCAAAAGAGCCAGTTTCCACTAACTTTTAAGGCTAAAAAATATTTTATTTTTATTCTTGATGTGAACCCTTCATCAGATACATATCTGTCAAATATTCTCTCCAGTTCCATGTGTTGCTTTTAATTCTGTGAACTTTGATGCAGAAATTTTTTCAATTTTGAAGAAATCTAAGAAGCTGTACATTTTTATGTTATCGTTCATGTTTTTACTTTTTTCATTGAAATGTTAAGACCTTCTGTTTCATTCACTTGTCTAATTACATTGTTTAAGACTTTCAGATCATTGTTGAATACAAGCAGGCCAGACAGCTTTTTATTGCTTCTGATTATAGAGGAAAAGATGTAATTTTTTGCCACTGACTGTGATGTTACCTAGGAAGATTCATAGTTAGGCATTACTAATCTGAGGTAGCTTGCTTTGATTCCAAGTTTCTTGAGTGTTGTGTAGTACTGGAAATAGAACCCTGTAAGGACTAAGCTATATCTCTACATCACCAGTCTTTTGTTGTTGTTTGGTACTGAAGGTTGAATCTAGACTCTCAAGCATGCTTACAAAGAGCTCTACCACTCAGCTCCATAGCCAGCCATTCTTTACATTTTATTTTGACACAGACTCTCATTAGGTTGACCAGGATGACCCTAATGTAATTCTCCTGCTTCAGCCTCCTCTGCAGCTGCTATGAAGATTGGTACTAGTATGCAGATGGAGGAATGTTTTTCTTACCATGAAACTGCTCGATTTTTTTCTTGTACAGATAATCTCATCTTCACTGTCTCATGGTAAGGCCAGTACTGGTTATAGTTTGGTTCTCATGCCTAACATTTAATAAATTTTATCTCACTTTCAGGAACATTTGCTACTTATTAACCAACTCATCTTCTTTATGATTTGCAGGCTTCTCTGTGGGATCCATGGTGCAGTCTCACACCAGAGGGATCTGGATGTGGTGTGTGCCTCATCCCAAGAAGCCAGACCAGACTCTAGTTCTGCTTGACACCTATGGTCTGGAAGATGTTGAGAAAGTAAGGATGAGGGAGGATTCAGTTTTGTATTAGATGCTCATTAGTGAATATACATTACAAAGAGATGTTTTTTCCTTACATAAGAGATTATACTTAAATGTAATATATCTCTTTTTTGCTTACATTGCAAAGACTCAGTTTACCAACCAGAAATCAGAAAAGTACACATAGGACAGAATCCTAGCAACAAAGCAGCATGCATAATACAATGCCCTAATTATCAATAACAATCTATAAATAAAGCAAGTGATCCTATATGAAAAAAGAAAGCACAAATAAGGGCCAGAGAGATGGCTCAGTAGAATAAGCGCATGCCTGGCAAGCACAAGAGACTGAATTCAATTCCCCATTCAATCCAAAAAAAAAAGAAAACAAAAGAAAGAAAGAAAAAAAGAAAGCACAAATATATTCAGTGTCAGGAGTCTTATCCTACTGAACACTTTAAGGATTTAGGCGTTAAAGCTCATGACTTTCTGTTTCAATTAGAACCCTAGTTCTACCTTGATGCACTTAGCAAACAACTTGACTTCTTTTAGATTCAGCTTTCTGCTTGTCAAATACACATAATAGCTTTACATATATCTCCCAGTATGGTTTGGAATATTTAGTAAGATAATATTTCCAGTATAAAATAATTGCTATAAAAAGTATAAGTATTATAATCACATGTCTTTTTATTTATTGATTATCAAGCATGCTCAACTACATCAAGGTCTATATCTCATATAAATGAATTTTGCTATTAAAAAGAGAAATCTTTACATTTACATTTTCTTGAATACCTAAGAACCTAGCTGTGGTTGCTCTCTTCATAGCTCTGAGCATATAGGCAATGGTGCAATGAAGGAAGGCAGACTTGCCTGGCTATTGCAGCTCTATTGTATCAGTTCTTGGTCCTTCCCAGAACACTACAGTTCTGCTTTGCAAACATATATAGTAACTGCTTGGAAAAAGAGCAAGCATTTAAAAGATCTAGAAACACCAGTGAGATGGTTGAGTTACAAATTCTGCTTCACAGCAAGAATGCTTGAGAACTGAGTGGAAAGGGAGGCATGAACATTAAGGCTCTGTGGACAGACACAATGTAAGTGTTTCAATCCCAGAGAGCAATGGCTTTGAGTGTATATTATCAGTGCTAATGTAGAAACAACTGGAGAAGTTGAGAAAAATATCATCCCTACCTTGGATGAAGGTCCACAGTTGTCATGACCCGCAGCATCCACCAACTCCCACTCATATTCAATGTCATGGAATGATTAAATTACCAACACATTAAAGAAGTGTCTTTGCTAGTTGAGAGGTTACTTCATCAAAGTCTAGAAGAAGGAATTATTTGGGTCTAAGTTACTCAAATCAAAAAAATTCAAGAGAACAATCAGACAACAATCAAGCTTTTCTAAGAATGTCTTCACTCCACTGACAAAGTTGTTCTAATTGGAGAAAAGCCTGATCGATAGGGTTGTAGAGTGCATAAACATCATCCTTAACAGCTGAGTCTTTCAACGAAAAGATGTATGCACTCTTACGGTCCCAATTTTTATGATGAAATTTAGGACTATGGTGATTTTTATCACGATGTTTGATGAAAGTGGTAGACTACCTATAGTATTTCCCATTCAGGGAAGAGGTAGTTTTGACAGAATGCCTCCTGGTCAGTATGAGCATCCCAAGCTTTCCTGTAGAAAAGTTTATGATGATTTGAGCCTTCATTGGAGACCACCCCCTCCTGATCAGGTATAGAAGATGGTAACATGTTCACAACATTCCTCTTACTCTTCCACCACCACCTTGAGGTGGACATTTAATGACCTGTGTCAGAATAGAAAGACCTGGAGCTCACTATGATGGCATTGTTTGTTTCAGTGCTGATGAAACTTGGGAAATTGCAATAGATGCGTGGAGCCATTAGGTTGTTAGATGGCATATGAACCACAGGGTGGCCCTGGATATGATTATTATTATGCAGGGGGTCATAGCTCATCTGGTGATCTTAGTGGACCTATTATCCCTACACAAGTCACTATTCCCAAAGATTTGGCTGGATTTATTATTTGCAAAGGAAGTTAGCAGATTATACATTTCTGCCATGAATCAAGATCTTCTATCAAAATTGATGAGCCTTTAGAAGGATCTGAAGATCAGATCATTACCATTATAGGAACACGGGACCAGATAGAGAATGCAGTGTTGACTGTTAAACAGTGTGCAGATGGCTATAGGTGTTGAAGGATTCTAATACAATATATATATATATATAATTTCTTAGACTGTCAAGCAGTATTCTGTAAAGTTTTCTAATGCTAGTAAAGAACTGAAGGAGACTTGCTTTATTTTTTATCTGCTTCTGTTTCAAAAGCTAGCATTCCTCTGCTTCATAGGTTTTCTTCACTTGAGGTATAGAGAAATCTTTGGTGTTCACCAGATGGAATGTTTCAGTTCCTTACAAGCAGGGGTTGGAGAGCATGTAAAAACTATCATTGAAATTTTAAAACAGTAGCAGAGTGAATTTTGTTGTTTGTTCATTATCTGTGGTTTAAAATGATTTTTCTCCCCATGTAACCATTATGAGAACCTTGCTTTGTGTGGTCTCTCTAATCATTTGGCAGTGCAGAATAGGGAGAAAAGTAATAATAGTCCATCTGCCCCAGGCTACTGTTAAGAGCAGTGTGCAGAATGCAGTACAGTTTTCTAAGAAGTGTTTTATGATTTTTAAAATAAATTATGTTTGGATTTAAAAATAGACATTAAAACTTTGACTGCTGAGCTGGGGAGATGGCTCAGTAGAATAAGCACTTGCTGGGCAAGCTCAAGGCCCTGAGTTCAGTTCCCAGTTCTGAAAAGAAAACAAAAAAAATTTGATTGTTTATTCAGTTAACTGCCAATAATCTTAAGAGGATCAGGAGAAATAGTATAAGTTAAATATAAAAGTAAATTCAATGTCCAAGTGTGACAGACAATATATATATAGTTGAATTTATGTTTCTATGTAATTACTCTCAAAACTCTAAGTGATGATCCTTTTGCCACTGCTAATGTGCAGATTGACACTAGAATGAAACATTCTCATGGCCCAAATTTGTTATGCCTTCCAGGGTGACAATCAGAACGATTCCTGGATCTTCACCCTGGCGATTCTGCTGAGCAGCACCTTAGTGTATAACAGCATGGGAACCATCAACCAGCAGGCCATGGACCAACTGAAGTATCCTTTGGGTGGTCCAGGAGGAGAGACCTGTGGGAGTAAACCAGCCCCATGGCTCTAGAGCCTGGTGCAGCCAACACAGTAAGAGAAGACAGAAGCAGGAAATCAAGTCAGGAAACACTCACATACCTACTAAAGAAATGACACTTAGGCTAAGGACAAATGTAATATAAAAGTTTGTGGATTTGTCAAACTAATATGGGATGAAGGGTCTTGTTGGTTTTTCCAGTTTTCCTTAGTGCCTCAGGCATGCCACTGAACTGGCAGATCAAATCAGAGCAAAATCCTCACCCAACACAAGCAAAGTTCAAGACTCAGCTGACTTTGTGAGCTTCTTCCCAGACTTTGTGTGGACCCTGAGAGATTTCTCCCTGGAATTAGAAATAGATGGAGAGTCCATCTCTCCAGATGCCTACCTGGAGAATTCCCTGAAGCTAAAACAAGGTAATATGAGTGAATAATTGGTAAATGGGAACATCAAAATACTAGAAATTATTAACCTTCATTATCTTTTTTGTATGTTAGGGAAGGGTCTACAGGGTGTTCAGGGTCTCACTACTAGATCGGACTTGTAGTGATCTGCTTGTTTACAGCCTCCCAAGAGCTGGGATTATAGGTGCACACCATCACGTCCAGTCTCAATTGCCATCTCTGCACCCCAGAGTCAGGGCTGGCATGGCAGGCCCAGGACGGGCCCTTAGAAATTATTAATCTGTACTTTTCTAATTATATTTGCTTTTTTACTTTTTGGAGTAACTGTTTTTATTTTTCTAAAAGAGAATATTAAAAAACAGTGAAAATAATTTAGAAACAATACAGAATTTCCAAAGCAAAATAATAAGAATTCAACAATGGTTGCTACATTGCATACTTTCCTGGTCCCTGGAGCTGCCTAAGAAGGTGCTTTAGTCTGCTGTGCTATCTGGCTAGCCCTCACATTCAGAGATTTCTATTGCTAATTGCTACCTATAGCAGGAAATTAATACTTAATATCTGAATTAAAAGATTCAATTAAAAACACTTTCTCATTTGGAGACAAGTTTTTGTCTTTCACATTTTCTATGTTTAGTTTAAATTTATCTCAGTACTTATCATTTGTGATTATGCATTTATTCAATGAATGTGGAGTGCAATGAATGCATATTAGATGGAAGAACATTAAAGTAGTGTATCAGCCCAAGTTTTGAAAAGTGTGACTCACAGACAAATGCTGGCTAATGAGAACCTGCCTCCTGTCTTGAAATAGATGCTGTTAGAAAAACATTGAGCCCATTCATTTACATATTGTCTACAGGTGCTGGCATGGCACAGTAAATGAAAAGAGTGCAGAGGAAAAGGGTGAACTGACCTGAAAAGCTAAAATTCTGTACTATGTGATCCTTTACAAAAATGTTTATGAATTCTTACACTGGGCAAATCCCTTTTTTTAATCTTCTTATAGGTTCTGATGAAAAAGTTAAAAATTATAATCTCTCCCGACTCTGCATCCACAAGTTCTTCCCAAGGAAGAAATGTTTTATGTTCAATAGACCCGCTCAACGAAGGAAGCTGGCCCAGCTGGAGACACTGCATGATGATGAGCTGGACCCGGAATTCGTGGGCCAAGTTGCAGAATTCTGCTCTTACATCTTCAGCTCTTCCAGGACTAAAACACTTCCAGGAGGCATCCAGGTCAATGGACCGCGTGAGTACCCTTCCTGTTAGCTTCACACATTTGTAAGCCTAGGGAACAAAGATTAAGATAAAATAAAATAAATCTAGTTTCTGTTTTCAGGTATGCACATGTACTATTCTTACATTAAATTAAAGGGAAAAAAATGGTTATTGTTTAAAAATTACTTAAGTAAACTAGAATAGCAGACTGCAATATAGTAGCCTCTAGAAAAACATGGTTATTTAATTTAAAAGTAAATTAATATAATGAAAAAAATTTGAAACATTCATGGCTATACTTCAAGGTCACATATTCTCAGGTTCCTAATGAGTATTGTATTCTTTTGAATAATGCTATTCATTTCAATAAACCAAATGGTAACAGCTTTTGATTTGGACAGCATAGGTTCTATAAATACTGATCAAATGTTTATGGTTAGGAGGAATGATGATGTAGATATAAATGAAAGATATACAGTTGTAGTCTTAATGGTGCACAGAGGTAAAATGAACACAAAATTCTAATAAGCAGCCCTATATAATATGTATCTAGATATCTCAGTTTAGTGTACACACATGTCACTTGGTTGGTCTTCTTGAAAAGAAAGGTGAACCTGAGTAGATCTGGGCAGTGGCTAAGATGCTGTGTTTCTAGTGAATTATCAAGTACCAATGATACCAATGATGCTTTGAGACAAATAGGAGGTAACTGATGGTGAGAGTTTTGGAAGCTGCAAAGTAATCACACATGCAGGCTAAAGCCAGCCTGAAAACATGGGAGCTCCTCAAAGCATGCTGTGCAGCTTGTCGACTGATTTATCAGTCCAGAGGCTGAACTTAATAATCTCTCTATTGTATAAATAAATGTTATACTGTTGTTCTGCATGTCTTCTCATTCATTCAAGAGAGCGAAGAGCTCCACCTGACCATTTTTGTCTCCAGTCTATCTTTTCTCCATTCTTGTTTCCTGTTTCTCCTGGAATACAGCAAGAGCTCAATGGATCCCCACAAGCTGACATGCTCAGAATTATACACAAAGGAGACTGTTTTCCACTCTGCCTCTAACAAGCACCATTCTCTGCTCACCACATGCAGGTCTAAGGAGGCTGGTGCTGACCTACATCACTGCCATCAGCAGTGAGGATCTGCCCTGCATGGAGAGCGCAGTCCTGGCCTTGGCCCAGATAGAGAACACAGCTGCAGTGCAGAAGGCTTTGGCCCACTATGACCAGCAGATGGGCCAGAAGGTGCAGCTGCCCACAGACACCCTTCAAGAGCTGCTGGATATGCACAGGACCTGTGAGAGGGAGGCTATTGAGATCTTCATGAAACATTCCTTCAAAGATGTTGACCAAGGATTTCAAAAGGAATTGTTGGTAAGTAATTGTTAACTCAAAATATGTTGACTAGGATTAGAGATTAAAAAGTATTACCAGGAAATGAAATATGTATTCATTTTGAGAAATGAAATTATTCCTAGATTTTGAAATGACATTAGCTACCTATCGATAACAATAATACTAAGTAGGAAGCATTCTATTATTATGGACTCAGTTTCAGCATATTTTTTTCCTTTTATGATTAGCTAATAATATTCCTGTTGTTATAACTATAAGATTGTTCCATTGCCACAAATGAAAGACAGCAAAGAAATAAAAGAGGCTTTTATTGCTCAGCTCAGGAGGGCTGCTTTAACAGCAGCAAGGGATATTCAAAGGAGGGAACTAGGAATGTGGCTTTTTGTTGGGTTAGGATAGAGGTGGCATTTTCATGGTCAGGTGAAGTGTCCTATCATGAGAGGATTGGAGGGTTGCTGGTATATGCAAAAAGGGGGCAAAGACTCTATCTTAGGATTAAAAGAAGAACATAGATGTTGGTCTTGTAGTGACATGTTCTTGGTTGGAACCCAAGGCTTTGATGGGTCACCTGCCATAATGACCCTGGCCACTATAAATATGAGTGGATACCCATCATTACCAACTTTGTGTTGTTAAGATACAATGACTCTCAAGCTATTTGCTGCTGATGGGAGCAACATGGGATGGGGGCTTTTGTAGTCCTGGGATGGTGGGTCAGGCCCCATAGAAACTGTTGCTGGGGAAAACTCTCAGCCAGGCAAGGAGCTGTCTTGTGGTGAAGGCCCATGTCCTGGATTGGAGAAAACTTGAAAACAGTTTTAAAATACACAGTGCTATAAGCGGCTAGCAAACGATCATGGCCACAATGATATTTTAATGACCTGACAACTGTAGTTAGGAAAGACTGGGCGTAGTTTTATATATTATGGCTATTCATTTCTGTTGGGTTTAAGACCAAGTTAAAGTGTGCTCTATATTAATGAAATATAATTCCTTGCTATCTTTTGTGGCCCGTTAACCTCCTTAGGGTTTGCCTTGGAACTAAGAATAGTGCCTCTTAGTAATTCTGTCAGTGTCAGCCTTCAGGATCAGTCACAGCCTTTGCTTGACCACAATTCTTTCTGTGAAAGCTCCAGAGACTTTTTCTCTTGGTGACAGTCCTTAGGCATAGTATATGCAATATAATCACTTTCCTCCATGGTCTCATAATCACTTTGATCCAAGTCAGGGACCCAACAGAGTTGTAGAACGTTACAGCAATGGTTCTCATGTCTTTTGGGTCCTCACTGACCTTGGAAAGCTTTGTACAACATATTGGGTGTCTTGTTACCCCATCAATATTTCTATTTTTTGGCCTCTAAACTTCAGCTGTTGAACAACCAGAAGAGAAGGGTAATGACATTACATTGTAGTGGGAGCAATACTCTTAAATTATTAAAATTTTATCTGACTATTAAGCACCTTGAAATATAAAGTGCAGCCAAAAACACTGTTATTCCCTACAAATCATCAATGTTCTAGTAGTTAAGCCCCTGAAGAATGTGAACAGATAACACTTACATAGATTTACAGGGAAATTTTTTATATCGATAGCCATACATTGTAGTGTAGAAAATAGTCACAATGAAATATCTACTTTGACTGAGGATCTCTAAACATAAAGGTAATACGCAGTATAAATATCACACAAGTTTTTCTTAGAAAGTTATTTAACTGATGACCTCATGCTGGCTTGACATGAACCTCTAATTGCAAACTTCTAGAGCATAAGAGAGAGCCATATGTTTAAATCTGAAACAAAATATCTATCACTATAAGCAATCTAAGTTTTATATTTTAGAATACTGTACATTTGGAAGGCACAAATATATTTAATACACCATGAAATTAGTAATAACAAATTGTATTTCTTTAAATTTTGTTTTGAACCAAGAATATCTTTTAACAGAAAAATCTTATTATCTTAATTTTGAAAACTTAACCTTTTGATAATCAGTGATATAAATATATTGTAATAATATTTTTGAACAATATCTATTGGAGTGTCTCCCATAAAGCTATGGAGAACATTGGGGCCCATTATTAATGAATTAAAACTGTGTAATATTATTAAAGGCAAATACTTTTTCATCCATCAATTGGAGTCTTGTCCAATAGTTCCTTTTTAGCCCAAAGGATCTATTTAGTTATTTTACAATCCATGAAAATAAAATCTCAGTATTTAACACATTGAATAGAAACAAATGAGAGACTCTCAACTTATAACCTACAAATGGCAGTATGTATTACATTTATCAAACAAATTTTGGCATAATTCTGACCAGCTGGCACCTTGGTGGAAGTATATCTTTAATTTAAATGACAATCATTTATAAACCAAATTAAATTATAACCAACCACTTCAAAACTATAAAAGAAAAAAATTTGAGCTCATATAAAACAGCTGTTGACAAGCCAAACAGAGAAGAAAACACAAGACCATTTATTTATAAAATCAGAACATGCCCAAATATATTTTGTTCAAATTAAATTATAATAATTTATTAAAGTTTCTGATTATAAAAAGACAAGTTAATTAGTAGATATCTATTGTTTGAAGAATTTGAAAAACATAAAAGCCTCTTATCTATAGTTAGTATATTTTTAGTATTTTATTTCATCTTAATCATAATGGCAAATTTTCATGAGGGAGCCTTATCCAAGTTAGTAGGGCTTTCCCCCCACCACTGGATCATCCTATTTAAAGTCAAATAAGACTTGAGATTCAATAAACCATGGAATATAGAAAAAAATACTTTATATCCAATACAGTGTATCAAGGACAAATGGGAGGAAACAAACTGAACAAAGTATAAGAATTAGGCATAGTAAGGTGGGGTGACAACCATGACATTGACAGCTAACAAGTTCTGAAGAGGACAATATTTATTTGTCCTACACTTCTGGACTACTAAGAAGGGTGTATTCTAACAAACACACTAAGAGGAAAATTAGAAAAACAATACATTTTACAAGAGCACTGTGGGAAATGAAAATACTTTAGAATTAATCTAACTAAAGAAGTCTAAGATCTATTCAATGATAATTACGGTACTCTGAAAAAAGAGATCATAGAGGATTTCAGAAAATCGAAAGATATTCCCTGCTCCTGGATAGGAAGAACCAACATTGTTTGTTTTTTTTTTCTTTTCAAAGTTTTATTGATAAACATATAGCAATGAGACAGTTTCAAATCAAATTGAAAGTACAGTTTCAACAAATAATACACT